AGGCTGCGGCACACACACGGCCCCTCCCAATCAATCAATCATCAATCAATCAAAACATGATACATTTGTTTTTGAAAAACAAAGAGTCTTTATCTTTTGTAGAAAAGGACTCAGCTGTTCGTAGTTAAAATCCTGCAACACTGGGGAATATTAGAAAATGAAGGAGCATGTTTGGTTCTGAACTGACAAGTATCAGAACCAAATGACAGGTACCCAGGGGTTCATGATACTGCTTGGTTTATTTTTTTTTTCTATCAGTTGTACATTTTTCAGAATAAATAAAATAAATAAAACCCGAACCCAAAGAAGCTTAGTGGATGTTTGTGCCACGGAGGCACACACTGGAGGGGGGGACGGGGACTGAGGCACCCACTTGGGGGGGGCAGGCTGCATGTCATAGCTGCATAATCACTGAGGTAAATATGGAAGTTCAATCAGAAAGGCTACAGCGAGGCAGTGGCTGGCCCAGGGCCCAGCGCTGGGTGCCTGTCATCTAGCTGCGAGGCCCATTTGCCCTCTATAAATAACAGTCTGGATGAATGCTCTACTATTTTAATGCACACTTGCCACAGCTGCTCAGCGTGTTTGTTTACGTAGCTAAGAAACCTTCTGTAAACATCACTACCTCAAAATTGCCCATGTGTCGGGGACATAAAGGCCCCTTCAAAAATACATTTGCAGATGACATACAGCCAGCTCTGGGGTGTCTGGGTGGCTGATGCCAGAATTTTCCAGGGTTTGATTTATGTTCAAAAATAGAATCACATGACTGGAAGGTTCCCGAGAGGTCGCCACAGTCACCCCTCTGACTGAAGGCAGGACCAGGACACAACAGTCCTTGGAGAATGTGTGCCTGTGCTTTATGGTGGGTGTCAGTCTGACTAATGGGATCCCTCCAAGGCGTTGAGGATAGACAAGGCTTGCTTCCTGCCTCCAAGAGCCTTTCTCTCTCTCTCTCTCTCTCTCTCTCTCTCTCTCTCTCTCTCTCTCTCTCTCTCTCCTC